TTACAGCACCTTTATAAATGTTTAGAGGATAAACTAAATATATACATTTTCCACATACATCTAATTCGAAACATTTTTCTACAGATATTCATTGAAAACGAAAATACTGAAAAATTTAAATTTAGCACTTTTCCTTCAATTTCTTCAATACGGTCCATTTTAGAAAAATCATACAAAAAACAAAAATTATAGAGATCGATATCACAAATAACTTTTATTTAAACAATTTTCCTAAAAATTTGAATTTTATTACATTTTGTCAAATTTCTCGAATACGGACCAAAAAATTGTATAGAACTAAAATTATAGATAATAATATTGTAAGTAATTTTTATCTGAACAATTTTCTTCTCCAAACATCAATAACAGATATATTCCATAAAATATAAAAACAGCCTCTCATAAAGTACCCCCCAAATGTTCCGCCTTCGTCTAAAATCTAATTATTTCACCTCAGGCCGAAATAAAACTTAAATTTAAAATTTAATGTTTTTTCCCTTATCTGTTTTTGAGTTTTCTTCAAAATTCGAAATTTACACATTTTCTCAAATATCTCGAATACGGTCCATTTTAAAAAAATTATGTAAAGAATAAAAAATATAGAGAATTATATTACAAACAACTTTTATTTGAACAATTTTTATAAAAAAAGAATTTTTTTATATTTTGTCAAATTTCTCGTAAACGGACCATTTTAGGAAAATTTTGTATAAAACAAAAATTATAGATAATAGAGAGTTATTGCAAGTTCACTTAAGGTCAGTCACTATTAGTGCCGCTTTTATTTTGACATCTGAGCATGCGCAGATCACTAATTTTAATAAAGATTGTGCCTGTCCTTAATAAGAGAGTTATTGCAAGTTCACTTAAGATCAGTCACTATTAGGGCCACTCTTATTTTGACATTTAAGCATGCGCAGATGTTTATGTTCTAAAACTGACTTTATTAAGGATTGTGCCTGTCCTTAATTGTGGATGTTTAAGGGCAGCAGGTAGTGGCGACTTTACAGCTTTCGGATGCACTCGCATAAATAAGTATAAGGACGAGGATTCTAATGTCAAAATTTCAGGTTTGCAGTAAGTCTGATTTTAGCATGGAATTTATTTGACTCTAATTACGATGTCACTATCAGTGGCTGGCTTTATAGAAATTTGCAATATCTCTCTATTAAGGACAGGCACAATCTTTATTAAAGTTAGTGATCTGCGCATGCTCAGATGTCAAAATAAGTGCGGCACTAATAGTGAGTGAACTTGCAATAACTCTCTAATAATATTATAAGTAACTTTTATTTAAAGAATTTTCTTCTCCAAACGTAAATAACGGATATATTTCATAAAATATAAAAATGACCACCAATAAAGTACCCCCCAAATGTTCCGACTCTGCCCAAAAACTAATCAGTTCTTTGGACGATGGAATAAAGCTTAAGTTTACAATTTGGTGTTTTTATTTGTGTCGGTTCATGAGTTATAGTGGATACAGACACACACACACTGACACACAGACACACACACACACACACACACACACACACACACACACACACACACACACACAGACACACACACACACACACACATACACATACATCATCCCGAAAATAGTCAAAACGGATTCAGGGGACCCCAAAACGTAAAAATCCGTCGAAAACTGGAGGTCGAAAAAAATCATGATTCCTATACTTTCCTTATCTGTATACACAACTGAAGCATATTCTAACTTTGATCTTATAAAAGCATAAAATAGAGTTTTTAAGGTAGAGGTTTCTTTGAAATCACTACTGCTATGTGAAATTAATCCGTACATGCGATAGGAGGAGGATACAACATTATCAATATGCTTATTAATGATAGTGCAGTGTCAAACGTGATGCCAAGATCGGTAAATGTTTTCGGTCGCTCAAGGGCAACGTTTTATATTGAATAATTAAAGATTAGAATATTCGTTTTTAAACTGTAGGACATAACTATATTTATTCAGGTTTAGTGACAAGTTATTTTGATAACACCATTCAATAATCCGTGTTAAGTTTGCTGAAAGGTTCTCGCAATCACCTATATTCTCTACGAGGCAGTATAGTTTTAGATCATCAGCATACAAAAGGAAATTTACATTTATAACATCTGCAATATCATTAATAAGCATAATAAAAAGGAAGGGTTCTTGACCTTTGTAGAACACCGGAAGAAGCACTATATTCAGCAGACCTAAAACCATTAAGCTGGACATATTGCTTTCGATCCCATAGATAGAATTGAAATAGTGAAATTAAAGAAGGAGATAATCCAAAAGCTACAAGTTTGTTGAGAAGAATGCCATGATCAAGTCTGTCGAAGGCCTTAGAAAAGTCTGTGTAAATAACATCAGTTTGGGCTCTGTTGTCAATAGATTCAGCAATATATTGGGTAACGGTCAGAAGGTTGGTGACTGTTGAACGACTTTTCATGAAACCATGTTGATTTATACTTATATTACAACTTACATGACGACATTTAACTCGCTCTAGCAGGATTTCAAAAACCTTTGCAAAGTTGCATATAATAGAGATAATTGGAAATATCGATAATTTGAAATATCTTGTCTATCTCCTTTCTTGAAAATGGGACAGATCTTTGAAAATTTCCAGATTTCTGGTATTGTAGCCGATTTTAAACAAATATTAATTAGTATGGAGAGAGGACGAGCAAGCACAGAACAATCTTTTAGGACAAAAGCTGGAATATCATCTGATCCGGTGGATCTAAGTCCCAAAATGGAACTGGTTGTGGGTTCTATGTTTCCAATCTTAATCAAACATTTAAATTTAAAATATCGGATATATGTTCTGTTTTTACGGCAGAAGCAAACGCAATTTTACATGCGCTGAAATGGGTAGAAAATAATAATGCTGGTAATTCCGTAATTCTAACAGACTTCATTGTCGGTATTACAGTCTATCAAAAAAACATCCTACAAACATAAATTCCAACCACTTAGTAAAACTAATAAGAAAAAAACTCATCAGCCTTAAAAATAGTGATACAAATATAGTTTTTTGTTGGGTTAAAGCTCATGTGGGAATAGTTGGTAATGAAATGGCAGATCTCGCTGCAAAAGACTCCACAAACTTAGAGTATTGCGAGAAACTTTACACGGTTCCCGATATTATCAATTGCTTTAAAAAAGAAATAAGAATCAATTGGGAAAAGATCTGGATTGATTTCAAACATAACAATAATTCAAACAATCATTACACACAAATTCAGCCTAATACATCTAATACTGTTTCTCACATTTCTGAATTTCAAGTATCCAGACAGTATTCTATTTACATTACTAGGATGAGGTTGAACCATGGTGGGTTTCCGTCCCACCTATTTAAGATTGGTGTCCTAAGGACACCCTTCTATTCTTGTGATAATATTTCAGTAGGAGATCATAATCATTTGATATTTGCATGTAACAACCACAACAAATATAGAAAATTTGTTTTAACGAAGTTATTAGATATAGGGATTTCTTTTCCAACCAACATTACGTTGCTATTGATCTCAAACAATAAAAAAGTATTTGATACATTGATAATATTTATTAAAGAATCTAAAATTAATATATAAACCAATAACAACTAAACAATAAGATTAACAAACAGTGGTAACAATTGTAATAAAAATAATAATGTCTGTGGCAAATGGGTTAAACCCGATGCCAGTCAACCACTGCACACACACACATATGAGCCACAGTATGGGTCAACATAACACAACATTCAAGTTGGATAATGTTGAAAAGTTGGCAATAGAAAAATTCCGAAGCCTAACGCCGGATTAATGGGCAAATGTGGTGGACCATTCCGCGAAATATGAGGATGCATATATTCAAAGAGAACACCTTATGGATGAATTTACAAATTCCCACATATTTAGTGTAAACACGGGGTCATCCGATGAGTGGGAATCCGATATTTCCGACTTGGAAGATGATGAAATTGAAGATGATGAAAATGTTTAAAATTATACAAATTAAATTAAAATATATTATTTATTTAAACTTTTAGTTGTTTTATTAATTTAAAGTTCATCAGCAATTTAAATAACGAATAGTTAAAATTTAACATTAACTTATTAACATGTTCGATTTAAAATATTTTATTAATGTACACACGCAACTGCTAAGATATCAGGTACTCCTACTGCAGCAGATTTCTGTCCAGCGCTATCAACTAAAGCTCCACGAAGTTATGACGTACTGCGCGAACTGTGGCATAGCTATGACGAAATGTACTCTTCACAACAAAAAACGAGCTCTAACATCCTGTATACATTAGTGACAAATTCATTTTTATAAAGGACAATCTATATATAGCTCCATGTCAATTAATATTAATTTGATATACGGTGGTGTGGAATGGACTATATCTAGTTCCATGTCAATGAATATATTCAATAATTGATATGTTTTAGTAGACATATTTATTAATGAATTAATCAAAATTTCTTATTGGATTTCTAAATCGCTTCCCTATCGTGATCGACATAATGTTATAGGAGTTTTTTTATCGTTATAATTGAATATCCGTATTGCGTTACATTGAAGCTGAACTTCCATGCCAGAAACTTAACTTATTAACTCCGATCTATGGTACGATAAGTAACTCTGTCGATCAGAATTTGCCTTATCGAAATTATACGAACACTTAATTGATTCCAAGTTAAAACTTTAAATTTTCTCTTCAAAACTTTCGTGCACTTAGCACAGAATACTTGGTATAAAATTAAACGGGGATCATATTTAAGTCGTAATAACTTATCGATTTTGTTCGTATAGGAACAAAAATTAGAAATGAAAATAGATGTAGAACTCGGCTTTAGATTTTTATCAATAAATAATCATTTGACTACGTGGATTGATAAATGAGAGGATTGGCATACACCCCACCGATTGGGAACTAGTGTCCTAATATATGGCAAGAACAGACAGTATTATCAAGTAATAAAAACAAATATAAATTGCTTACCTTGAATTACTTGAAGCTACAGAATTATTCGACCTGGATCTTCTACTTTTTAAACTATCGCCCCTGTTCACTATACCCTTGCCGGTTATTGAGAAGTGTCTTAACCTATAATACTCCTCTTCAACTCCCGTATTCGGCATTGACGCCACTCGCGACCTTTGTTGCGGAAGGCATAAGTAGTTGGGTCTTCCGGAAGCCCTACCTGGTGTTTTTACTGACTGCGATCTGTTGTGATGCGGACTACCATATCTGAAACAGAAAAAAATAAAATGAAGCAACAGTGAGATATTTCTAAAATGGTATTGTTAATTAGCGTCTATTTCTTGTGCTCTACAAATGAACCCAGCATTGACCTTCAAATGATTTAGCGCGCGCAAAAGTGGCCGTTTCAATAATTTTAGCGATGTTGCCAATTGCTTTTTGTTATTTGTTCTAAATAAATATATTCATGGGAATACCGTTCTATATTATTTTTTGTTTATGAATAATATGACAACTGATATTTTTATTTCTATAAATGTGGAATTGTCAAACATAGTAAAAGAACGTACATAACAGGAATGACAGTGACTGTTTTTTTAATAGCTCTAGGCCAGATGATAAAACCAGAATATAAATGTGTTTATTTGAGACTTTTCATTTCAGTTATTCAATTTGAGTTGTGTCCAAGCCGTTGGAGTCTAATAACAAAGTGAAAAATCAAAATTTTTGAATTTTTCCAACGGGGATCTCTTTTAAACCCTTTTAACAATAGCTCAAACAAATTAAAAAAAATTCTAAATTTTTTGTTTTGAAATAATCAAGCGTTTTTATGTTAACATTAAAATGGTGAAAATTAACTAATTAACAAAAGCATAATTAATAAAAAAATAGTGATAAAATTTTTTTGTTTACGGATTATTGTTTATTCATGTGTCTACTTAGTACCCAAATTTTTTTATTCCTTAATATTAATATTTAATCAGTTAAAATAATTTTTTTAGTTCATGTGTCAGATTGGGGCGATGCGCGCGGTAGCCGAACCACGCGTTTTTACCGTTATTTTCGCCGCTTAATTAAAATTATAAGGGTTGTTGGTACAGTTACGGGAGGTAGGACTTTTTTTAGGAAATTTCCTGCTTTTTAAGGATCTTTTTTCAAATTTCGATTATCTCAAATAGTTTTTGAAATATTTCAAAAAAACCAAATCCTTATTTTTTATTTTACTTTATTGTTTATAACTTTTGCATTTTTTTTCAGCCCCTCTTGGAATTTTGATAGAATGGTCTAGATGCCATTCCGAATCGAATGAGCCCAAAATCATAATTTTCGGTGCTGGAGGACAGGTTTCGAGGGAAATGGCACTTGTGAACCAGACTATTAGGGTGGTGCCCAATTCTTATTTCAAGGTAATTGAGTAATTATATTCTAGAGCCCAATCCACGACCCTTATTAATGAGCTTAAATCACTTAAATTGTAAAATCAACAACATAGCCATTAGATTTAGTAAGCTTATATTTATTGTACTTATAATCATCTCCCATCGTTATTTTAAGTGGTATATGCCATTGATATTAAAAATAGTCACAACTTTATTTATTAACACAAATGTTATCTTGGTGGAATAAATAGGATATAATTCCAAAAGAGATGTAAACTTTAAACACAGTGACGACTCAAAAAAAAACTAAAATATCTACGTTAGTCAATTAAATGCAGTTTTTTTTGCACTTTTGTAGTCTAATCAGTTGAAGTATGTTTCACATCGCAATGTTGCACTTTAAAACAAATTATTATGATCAAAATACAAACAAAATAAACTGTCATGCATAGTGATGCCGCGAGACAAGACGAGACGAGAGAGTGGCCTCTCTCGTCTCGTCTCGTAGGGCGAGAGAAAACTGTTCTCTCGTCTCGACGAGAAGGCGCTTCTCTCGCTCGAGAGAGAGCCTTCCTCTCGTCTTGTCTCGTCTCGTCTCGTTTCTCTCGTGATAAAACAATATCAAATTTAAATTTGAAAAAGACGAAACATGAAAAAATGGTAAAATTTGTAAGACAAAAACAATGTCTGTCTATCTGTCTGACACAGTCGTTTTATAACTGAAATGTGAAGTAATAAGTGGCCCAGATTCAACGTTAACTAAAAATGAAAATACTTTGTCTTGTAAGTCAGTAGGGAAGAGGGGGAAGAGGTTAAATTGGAAGTTAGAATTGTTCTAATGCAATACTGCGATGTCAAATGAAAGCATTTTGTAGTATGTTTTTAAAATGCAAAAAGATAGAGACATAAAACAAACACGATGTGAAATTAGAGAAACAATATGATATTTTTGTTATAATGAGACACACTTTACTTGAGACGTAAAATAGAGGGCATTACTATCTTTAAATTTAAAAAGCAGAATGGATTAAATATTAGAAATGATTGTATAAATTTTAAATAAATGAAATGAGAAATATTTTTTTTTATAAATCACTATTTATAAAATCCTAATAACACAAGTATCATTTGTTACCATTTAATATATATAGAATGGGTGTGTTATAGTAAATTTTTTGACTATCTCGAAATCTAATACGTTAAAATTTTAAGTTACGATAACCAATTGAAAATTTTAAACAAGCAAAGAGAAAATTGTTCGAGAGAGCCCGAGAGAGCTCGAGAGAAACGAGAAATTCTCGCCGAGAGATGACACTTTCTCGTCTCGTCTCGAACCTGTCTCTCTCGTCTCGTTCGAGACGAGACAAGACGAGACGAGAGACGAGAATCTCTCGTCTCGCGGCATCACTAGTCACGTACAGAGAATCACGTTAACAATACTGATAAATTATGATAGATTTATCTCAGTGACATATAAAAGAAGAAAAATTGTTAAAAAACTTTTTCCAAAATTAAATATCTGTTGATTTTGGTGTGATAAGAATAGTTTGGGTCTGCTTATACCATATTAAGAGGTATGTTACAATAAGTGAGAAACATATAAATCAAAAATCAAATACTATTTAATATTTTAATGCTACATGTTTGACATAGATCATCGGTCAGTGGCGGTTTCTCCAAATAAATAACATAAAAATATTATTTAAATAAGGATAATTTCCTCGTAGCAGAATTCTATATAAATAAAAATTTCCTTGGTTTAATCGGTCATTGTTTGTATTTTCAATCGTTTAGCACAGCATTACATATGTTTCGGAAATTTAGATTTTTCCATCTTCAGGTGCAGTCAAAATTTAAAAAATAAAAAAAACACAAGAGGATGATTACAAACAGTTTAAAAATTTTTAAAATAACAGAACCCCATCTTTCTCTTTCAGCGTATGAAGGTGTATTCCTGTATGAATGTTGGTGTTTTATTTTTAATAAAAAGAAACACACATATCCCACCTTTTACTGCTATATACCTTTTACTCATGACATGCCATATAATTCTGAATTATTGATATTTCAAAAGCTAATCCCCAATCAGATTATTGAAGTTTCCAATCCAATAAATTTAAAAGTAACTGATCTATTGGGGAAGTAAGATCTTGACATATACAGTGATATATACAGTGTTGGCCAGTAAACGTTTTCCAATACGGATTGCACAAGTGAATGTGAAAATTACAGAGAGTTAGCACTAACGTAAGCAGGAAATTAATAAGATTAGCCTTGCCAGTTTATACGGACTGACTGCAGTGGATATCTTAGATTGGGCCAAAAAAATTGACTATCTTTTTTTGAAAAATATATCGAGAATATTATTCAGGTTGACAAAAAAAAAATTTCGTGAAAATTTGAGCCCCTAATATTAATTTTAAGAGGTCTATCAACGCTATTTTTGATTTTTAGTCATAATTTGATGTTTTACGTTAGAACTGTCAAAACATTAAAGTAAAAAATGCCTTTTCACTTATTTTTTTATAAAATTAAATTCTCTATAAAAAATTTTAATTTTTTCTTCAATTTTAATCGTGAATAACTTTTGAAGAACTAAATTTAGGCAAAAATTTTAAGAGACCTTTTTTGTAGAATATTAAATTTCCTTTGAGAATCCAACGTGAGCTTTTTTAAATATTCATTAATTCATTATTTACAAAATTTCAAAGTAAAAAGGACACATCGATCTATTAAGCTCACTTACTTGGAAACGTTTGACGAAAATTTTCAATCAGACCTTTTTTATAAAGAATTTAATTTTATATAAAAATAAGTAAAAATGAATTTTTTCTACGACCGTGTATTTTTACCCACTTTCCCGCACGCATTTTAGTTTTGAAAGTGTCACTTTCCCGCACGAGTGCGGGAAAAAATCACTTTCCCGCACTAGTGCGGGAAAGTAAAATTATGAATATTTGGCCTTACCTATTGTATAGTTTTTTTACCTCGGATGTTATAACTATTGTTACAATAGGTAATTTAGTATTTTCCAACTATTCCATTTAATAAAATTTACTTTTTTTCTTGCTTTTTGCTATAATTTTAATTTTTTGGAAAACTTGAATAATAGAGATATTTTTATATACCTTCTGTATATTTTTAAAAGTCAGACTAGGCTGTGACATGTATGGCTTGATATGGTTGCTATATGTAACCAAGGCGTGTTATTGTTACAAAAACGTCAAAGTTGTTTGTTGAAGCGTCAACTGAATTAAAATAAATTAAAGAAATAATGGATTCATCGGATGAAGAGCTGCCCGAAGCCATTTTAAAAGCTGCAAATGAAGCACATTTGGAGGTGTTACCTGCCAAATCACGAGGAAGATATGAAAAACAATACGACCATTTTGTCACATGGTGTAAACAGGAAGGGGTAAAAACCTAAAAAGAAGAGGTGTTTCTGGCGTATTTTTCGCACCTATGTAAGTTTTTGAAATCTAATACTTTATGGTCTCGCTATTCGATGGTGAAAAGTTTAGTAAAAATAAAACAAAATTTGGATATAAGCCAGTTCCATAAGTTAACGTCATTTCTAAAACAAAAAAATGTTGGTTTTCGAGCACAGAAAGCGCAGGTTTTTACCAAAGAAGATATATCCAGGTTTATGTTAGCCCCTGATGAGGTATACCTTATGATTAAAGTGAGTACCATTTTTGCTTTAGCTGGTGCTCTCCGCAGAGCGGAGCTTGTAAATATCACTCTCGATGATATACAAGATAAAGGCAATCTGATAGTTGTGAAAATTTCCGATTCCAAAAATCATTCTTTAAGATCATTTGTTTTATGTGAAGAAATAAATAATGGAAACTTTCTGAAGCTGTACAGAAAATACGCAGGTTTACGACCAC